GCATTTTGGGGGGGGAGTTATTTTTGTTTTTATTAGTGAATGGGAAGGAGGGAGGGAGGGAGGGAGGGAGGGAGGGAGGGAAGGAAGGAAGGAAGGAAGGAAGGAAGGAAGGAAGGAAAGAATCCTGGCATTTGTGACAATATGAATGCCCTTTCTCTGTGTGAAATAAGTCAGACAGAGAAAGACAAATTCTGTATGACCTCACTTATTGTGAAATCTATTTTAAAAAAGCAAAAATTCATTTAAAAACGAGATCAGATTTGTGGTTGCCAGAGATGGGGTACGGGGGATGAGGAATTGAATGAAGGTGATCAAAAGGTACAAACTTTCAGTTATAAGATAAATAAGTACTAGGGATATAATATACAACATGATGACATATTAACACTGCTGTATCCTAAGAGTTCTCATCACAAACAAAATAATTTTTTTTTTATCTATCTGAGATGATGCATATTAGTTAAGCTTATTGAGACGATCACTTCACAATATATGTAAGTCAAATATCTATGCTGTACACCTTAAACTTATACAATGCTATATGTCAATTATATCTCTATAAAACTGGAAAAAAATAATATTTTTAAAAATCAAAAAACAAGATAAATTGGCAGAATATGTGCAGCATATGCCACAAAGAGCTAATATATAAAGAGCTCTTATAGACTTAGAGACACAGCCCTGGCCAGTTTTGCTCAGCGGTTAGAGCATCAGCTGGCAGTATAGAGAGATTCGGGTTCGGTTCCTGCTAAGGGCATGTACTTTGTCCCCAGCCCCAGCTGGCTGGGGCAGTGTGGGTGGTAGCCAGTGGATGTGTCTCTCTCACATCAATGTTTCTCTCTCTCTCTTCCTCCCTCTCTCACTCTATCTGAAGATGAATGCAAAAGTGTCCTCAGGTGAGGATAAAAATTTTTTTAATTAAATTAAAACAAAACTTAGAGACACAGCATTATTCACAACAGTCAAAGGTTAAAGCAACCCAAGTGCCCATTGACAAATGAATAAATAAAATGTGAGATATATGTGTTTGTGTGTGTATAATAATATGATATCATTCAGCCTTAAAAAGGAAACACGTTCTAACACATACTACAAGATGGATGAAACTTACATCATGCTATGTGAAATAAGCCAGCCACAAAAGGACAAATACCATATGATTCCATTTATATGAGGTACCTAGAATAGGCAAATTCATAGAGACAAAAAGTAGAATGGTGACTGCCAAGGGCTGAGAGAGGGAAGAATGGGGAATTAGTGTTTAATGGAGAGAGAGTTTTTGTTTGGGAAGATAAAAAATGTTCTGGAGATGGATGGTGGTGATGGTTGCACAACACATGTATGTACTTAATGTTATGTATGGAGCTGTATGCTTTAAAAAGTTAAAATGGGCCCTGGCCGGTTTGGCTCAGCGGTTAGAGCGTCCGCCTGCGGTCCGGAGAGATCCGGGTTCGGTTCCCGCTAAGGGCATGTACCTCTGTTGCAGTTTGTCCCCGGCCCTGGTTGGTCGTGCGGGTGGCAGCCACTCAATGTGTCCCTTTCACATCGATGTTTCCCTTTCTCTCTTCCTCTCTCTCCCTCCCACTCTATCTGTACCAAAAATGGAAAAGAAAAAAAAAAAGTTAAAATGGTACATTTCACATAAAATATATTTTACCAAAATTTTGAAAAAAGAGAAAACGAAAAACAAAAACTCTGAGGAAAGAAAAACAAAAACCTGATAGAAAAATGGGTTCACCGACAGAAAAAACAATTCACCGAAAAAGACATACAACTGGCTCTCAAACATATGAAAATATGTTCAAACTCACACATAGAGAAATAAAAACTTAAACAGCATTGAGACACCATTTCATATTTGTCACACTGGCAAAAATTAAATTATGACAGCAGCACACTGTTGATGAGGTTGTGGAGAAACAGGCATTGTTCTTACACGTTGGTGGGAACGCAGCTTGGTACAATCCCTTTGTTTATTGTGGTTTTTTTAAATTATTTTTATCAATATTTTTAATTAAAAAAATTTTTTTTCTTTATTGATTTTAGAGTGAAAAGAAGGGAGAGGGAGAGAAAGAAAGAAACATCGATGAGAGAGAGCATCGACTGGCCATCTCCTGCATGTCCCCCACTGGGGACTTGGCCCACAACCTAGGCATGTGTCCTGACCGGGAATGGAAACGGTGTCCTCTTGGTGCATGGGTTGACGCTCAACCACTAAGCCACACCAGCCTGGCTTTATTTTTGTTACAGATTTTTCTTCTTTCCCCCCCATTTATATTCTCGTCCCAATCCGCCCTCCCCCACCCTCAGCTTCATCGTCTATGTCCATTGGTTACTCATACATGCATATAAGTTCTGTGCTTTATCTCTTCCCTCCCCCTGCTCCTCTTCTGAGGTTAGTCTGTACCCTACTTCTGTGTCTCTGGGTCTATTTTGTTCATCAGTTTATTTTGCTGATTATATTCCACAAATAAGTGAGATCATGTGATATTTGTCTTTCTCTGTTTGGCTTGTTTCGCTTAGGATAATACTCTCCAGGTCCCTCCAGGTCATCTCAAAGGATAAGAGATCTTTCTTTCTTACAGCTGCATAGTATTCCATTGCATATATGTACCACAGCTTTTTTATCCACTCATCTATTGATGGGCACTTGGGCTGTTTCCAGATCTTAGCTATTGTAAACATACAATAGGAATAAATAGGGGTACATAGGGGTACATATGGTACAATCCCTTTGAAGGGAAATTTGACAAAATTACAAATGCAGCTCCCTTTCAACCCAGCAATTCCACTTCTAGGAATCTACCCTTAAGATGAACCTCCAACAATATGAAAATACATATGCACAGGGTTATTCATTGCAGCATTGCTTATAATTAATTGCAAGACACTGAAAACAACCTACATGACCATAGATAGTTGGTGGATGAATCAACCATGGTACATCCACACAATGAAGTAATATGTTACTGTAAAAATTAATGAGGGCATGAGCATAGCAACATTATTCATAATAACCGAAAAGTAGAAATAAACCAAATGTTCAACTGATGAATGCATAAATAAAATGTGGTATGTCCAAACAATGGACTATTATTCAGCGATAAAAAGTAATGAACTTGCCCTGCCCGGTTTGGCTCAGCGGTTAGAGCCTCTGCCTGCGATCCAGAGAGATCCGGGTTCCCTTCCCACTAAGGGCGCATACCTCAGTTGCAGTTTGTCCCTGGCCCTGGTTGGTCCTGCGGGTGGCAGCCACTCGATGTGTGTGTGTGTGTCTCTCTCTCTCTCTTCCTCTCTCCCTCCCACTCTATCTGAGCAAAAAATGGAAAAGTGTCCTTGGGTGAAGATAAAAAAAAAAAAAAAGTAATGAACTGACAACCTGGATGAACCATAAAAACATTAGCTCACTAAAAGCCAGTCACAGACCACATATTTATTGTATGATCCTATTTATATGAAATGTCCAGAATAGGACAATCTATTTAGACATTTTTATATTTACAACAAAAGTTTGGCGATCTCAAACGAAACCACAGTTCTGAATCACACAGAAGGAACCTGAGCTGCATGGAATCCCACCGTCTCACAGTTATGACCTGTGGTAATCATGGCCCCAAAGAATTAAGTGGCTCCCAAAGCCATTACTGGAGACACCTGCGAGCGTCAACGAGCTCATCTAGCCCGGTCCGCTTCCTCCCGGGCGGCAGTGCAGTCAAAATTTTCAGTCTGGAGTCGGGCTTACCCACTGGTTAGCTGGGGGCTTGGAACAACTCACTTCACCTCTGGGGCTCAGTTTCCACCTCTGTATATGGCGCTAATACCACTCACCTCGTGGGGCTCCAGTGAAGGTGAAGTGAAAGGACGCCAGTCAAGGGTTAGTGTCGGCTTTGCACCCAGCAGACGCCGAATCAATGGTGGCTTCTGCTGTTGTCACAATGAACCGCTCCCGAGCCGAAGCCCATCCTAGGCACCCCAGGGCGGCGGCAAGAACCGTGAAATGGGCCGCGGGGCAGCCGGGAGGCCCGGCCTCGTCTCTCCCGCACTCCGGCCTCTGTTTCCCCAACTGTAGACACTGGGGCTAGCCAGGAGCCCCCTGCATCTGCACTGGCCTCTGCCAGGCGCCCCTCAAGTTCGCGCCCTCGCCCCCTCCCCGAGCTCTGGAGAGCCGCGCCCCCACCCCGGGGCCGCCCCCAAGCCAGCCGCCCAGGAATTCACCAGGCGTCTCCACGGCAACAGCCTGTCCGCCCAGACCCCTGCGCCGGCCGGCTGCGCGCCTGACAACAAGGCTCACTCCCATTGGCTCCGGTGCCGGTTCAGCCAGCCAATCAACGAGGGCACACGCGCCGCTGAAACCCTGCGGGCGACCTGCGGCACCACTCGAAGGCTTGGCGCTTGGTGGTGACCGATCCTGGACCTTGGCTTGAGTTCTCGCGTTTCTGAGGCTTGGAGCGCCAGCTCGCGGTTGCACTCTCGGCTCCACCACTTGTGATACTTGGGAAGCGCCGAGATTGGTGCCCGCCCCGGAGCGGTCACTAAATGATGGGGAGTGTTATCGTTGCAACCTGGGGCAGGTGCTCTGAAGGCAACAGAAGCTTGGGGCACACTTAAGAGGGAACCAGGGGAGGGACAGTATTCTCCTACATATTACCTGTACCTCATCTCTTCCGGAAAGGATTGGAAGCCAAAAAAATACCGATAAAATTAACTATTGAAACAGAAGGAAAAAATAAACCAAGACCCGTAAACGAACAGCCAGGGAGGAAGTGACAATTTTAGAGCCCAAAAGAAGGTCCAGCGTGAAAAGGTTTCTGACAAGGCCTGGAGCTGAGAGAGGTTACTCTCTCGGGAGCTACGCGTTTTAGGGAAGGGCTTCACACTGGTTGAAATGCATAGCTACTTGAGTTCAGCAAGAATGACTTAAATAGGAATGAATGTTATGGCTTTCTCTTTGACCCTAAAGACAGTAAAATCACAAAGAATTAGGAGTCAATTCGGTACAATAAAGCTTTACTGATATGCCAGGAGTTACAAAAATAATTGCATCACCAACCTTTATTAAATTTTTTGTATTGATTGATTTTACAGAGAGAGAGGGAGAGAAACATCCATTTGTTGTTCCACCTATTTATGTATTCTTTTATGTGCCCGTGATTGGGGATTGAGCCCACAACCTTGGTATATGGGGACGATGCTCCAACAAACTGAGCTATGCAGTCAGGGCGCCAACCTTGATTTTGAGAATATATATAGCTTTGGGAAAGGGACAGTAAATAGAAGCATAAACAGATGGGTTTCAAAATTTCGGCAGATAACATGCAGGCTTGGATGTAGCTCCCACCCCTAAGTTGTACCTTGAAAGATGCTCTGGAGTGAAACAGTTGCAAAAAGATGAGAAGGGTGGCCCAAGCAGCAGGGAGCTGTGTGGCAAGGGTATGGAGGTGAGAAACAGTGCCACCAAGCAGAAGCTTGGGGCAGCACAGTATTACCAAGGTACAAAACTCAGGGTCAGTGTGGGGAAATAATGCTGGAGGGGCCAGTCCTCACAGCAAGCAGATGACATCACTCTCACTAGAGTGGTGATAAGAGATTTAAGGTGGAGGACCAGATAGGAGGCTGCTGTTGCCTTATGGTCCTGACAAGGGTTAGGCCTGAATCCCTCCTTGGGCACTTAACCCCTTCATTCACAATCAACCCATATTGGCAGAAGGAATGAGTGCAGAAACTATTGGGACAGGTTGCCAGAGGAACTCCAAGCTCTAACTTTTAATGAGAGTCCTCAGCCATGGTCTGGTCCAAACACAGCAGGCAGACCTACACATTCCATTGGAATGTGTATATTAAGTGAGACTGAAAATCTCAATTTGGTATTTCACTAGTGCACTAAAGGCAAGGGTAATCGAACCTTTAACTGTGCTAGGAAACAGTACCCACACTGTGTTTGTCCAGCATGATACGGTATTAGGAGGCTGAGGGAAGATCCCACTCATTCAGTTTCTAACAGCAGGCACTGCATTTCCAGGTTTGCCATTCTGGGATTGGGTTTTACAAGGTACACAGAAAATTCTCAGCAAGACTCATTGGAGAAGATGGAGTTTGGGAATGCCCAGGAAAGGTCCCTGAAGCCCAGCCTGCCTGGCTCCCCTGCCAAACACAGCAGTCTATGGGCAGGGAACTACCTGGCCAGCCCAGGATGAGGACAGGAACATCTGGTCAACGGAGTTTGCAAGAAGGCCCAGGCTGTCAGCTCCTCCCCAGCAGCCTGTACATGGGCATGGAGAACAGGGCCTCCAGGCTGAGCCCTCCATCTTTTCATTTGAGCAGCCTACATAAATGAAACAGCACCCTGAAAATAGGAACCATCCCACTTCCCAGGTTCCCTAAGGTTCTCATCTCATAAACCAACCCCACTGCCCAGGGTGGACCAGAATGCCTTGGTCGGGTAAAGAAGTCATGTTTGAAAGACGAAGCTCTCTTCATTTATTTGGCATGAGAGTGGGGAAGAAGAGGATTGTGAGATCACAGGCATGTCTGCATGTGGGGCTACCAGAAGCTGGTATCCAGCAGGCTCTCACTCTTCTAGGAACCTCTGGATGCACTCCATACCAATCACAAAAAAGTCATGACTGTCCCCTTCTTGCCAATCTGCCAGGGCTCCAGGGGGAAAAAGCGAATAATTATCCTTCAGGGGACAGAGAAAAAGATGTCATCAACTACTTAGCCAACGCCTCATATTCTAAGAACCCTAGCCAGGCATTTCCACCACGGGCTCCCCAGCCAGCCTGCCTTAGCCCACCTGGTATGTTGCAAACTTGCCTCACCCCATTAATGTTCTCCAACAGGGTACTGGGCATTTCAGGAGCAGGATGGTGGCTGTACATCATTGTGGCCCACCCAGAACTACACTAACAGCCAGAACTTAATTCAATTATCCTAGCACTCTAAAGGTGGCCCCACTAACAGGGAGCCCGACACTAGACCTTTCTTGGGCAAGGTAAGGAATTAACTTTCTTCCCCACCTTCAGGAGGGGCCCTGACGTGGGATTACAGACTCTGGTGGTGCATAGTCCCAAGAGTGTCCTCTCCCAAATAAAAAGAAAGAAAAAAAAAAAAGTCCTCTCCCTACCACTACGCACCGGTCCTGGCCCAGCTGCAGCTCCTTTGTGAGGAATTCGAAGAACCGGGAGCTGTGGCCGCGGTTGTCCTCAGCCGTGCCCACCACACCGATGGAGGAGACTAGCAGCTGCGCACAAGGCTCGGCCGAGCCACTCACCGCCATGGCCAGGCCGGGCCGCACCGTTACGCTCACGCGCTGCGGGGAACACGAAAGTTTCGCCTGAAGCCGGGCTCACGCTGAGGACCGGGAGCACGGGCCCCCGGGGTCACGGCTAGGGGAATGGGCCGGGGTCCTTGGTGGTCACATCGGTGTCATGGCTGGGGAAGGCAGACGTGGGGGGGGGGGGGACCGCGAGATCGTGGAGAGCAGAGTTGGGTGAGGGTCCCTGGGAGGAGGAGTCCCGGTCACTATGGGGAAGTCGGGACGTGGACAGAGCCCGACCCCTGGGCCATCAACCTCTCCCAGCCCCGTCCTCCCCGGCCCACGCTCACGTCCTCGGGTTTGCCCAGGATGGCGGCGGTGGCTGCGCAGAGCCGCTTCTCCAGCCCCGTGGGCACGCGGCCAGCGGGCAAATTTGTGTCCAGCTCCACGAAAGGCATGCCGAGCGGGAAGGCGCGCGAGCTGCAGCAAGGGAAAGACTGCGGATTCCGATGGGTGTTCCCCAGGCTCTGATCTAGGAGGTAGGGGCGGAGGGCCACGGAAACTGGGCTCCTTATTGGCTTTCAAGGCACACAGCGCCTCCCGATTGGCTGCCTAGGCCCAACCCCGACTCTGGCGTAGATTTCCGGAAGTCCTTTTACCCCGCTCACCCGGTGTTAACTCCACTCCCAAGGAGACTTCGGCAGAACCATGGCCCAGCCCTCGGCACCCCAGCCCCGCCCCCTCCCCAGCCACACTGGCCGCTGTCTCCTGTGGCTTTCCAGGGCTGGTGTCTTCTGCGGCCTATCCCAATTACGCGGAGGCCTGAACACCCACAAACACACATACCTGTAGGAGCCTGTCCCAGGATCGACCCTAACTTTACATCGTCATGGAGAATTTAAAAATTATTTTTATGTTTTTGTTAATCCTCACTGGAGGGTATTTTTCCCATTGAGAGTTAGAGAAAGTGGAGTGGGAGGGGGAGCGAGAGAAACACCCATGTGAGAGACATCGATTGGTTACCTACCGCATGAGCCTCTACCGGGAGGGGGTGGGGAGATAAACCTGCAACCTAGTTACATGCCCTTGACCGAGAATCAAACCTGAGACCTTTCAGTGTGCAGGCTGACGCTCTATCCACTGAGCCACACCAGCCACGGAGAGAATTTTAATTTTAATGTGTTGTCACCACTTCAAAGTTAAGCAACTTCACAATCAATAGGAGACGCTGCATTTCTCTGGATCAGGAGACCTGATGACACGTGGTGTTGGACAGCGATGCCAGGGTTCACTGAATCCCTGCCTGGCCCAGATATCTGCCTTTGGGTCTTCTTGTGCCTGTAGCACCTTTGCCTCAGAGTGAGGAACTGTCCACCAGGGAATGGGAGCCAGGTCCCAGTAGATTTACCAGCAATGTTTATGGTACTTTATTATATTTTTTTAATCTTCACCCGAGGACATGCTTTGTTAGAGAGAAACATGGGTGTGAGTGAAACATCAATCAGCTGCTTCCCACATGCGCTCTAACCAGGGATGTAACCCACAACCTAGGTATGTGCCCTAAACAGGAATTGAACCTGCAACCTTTCTGTGTACTGGACGATGCTCCAACTGACTGAGCCACACTGGCCAGGGCTACAGTACCTCACATTTTTATAGGCAAAACAAAAGGTGTTATTTAAAACATGGAAATCTTTTGGTGTGACTAACCATGGTACTATCAGTGTTTTGAAGTTGTTTGAAATATAAATGAAAATACAGTTGGAACCGTGTGGGTGTATATGAACAATTTAAATTACACATCTAAAATTCTTTATGTGTGCATATTAAAGGTGCCTCCATGGAAAGGCAGGTGGATTGAGAGGTTGTTTGTTCATGGCATTGTCCCATTAGCAACTGCATGACTCGGAGGCTCTGGGACACAAAACAGGTAGGCTGTGACAATCTTGAGGGGAAAGGGCAAGGAAAGGTGGCAAGTCTGGAACCCAGAGTGGGGCATGGAGATGACTGTGGTTGGGGTTACAAGTAGGCCTGGGAGAGCAAGGCCTCTCAGCAGCACTTGGAGGGCCGGGAAATCACCTGGGACTTCCCTCCCTGCAAGGAGGTTCATGCATTAGCCGGGACGCAACCGGGGAAGAGAACATCATTCCAGAGACCCAGATGAGAGGCCATTCCTGATTCAGACATCTCTTCACAGGGGCCAACCCCTATCTGTGACACCGGCTCAACCCAGGGTGGAGCATGGAAGCAATTTCCTGCCAAGACAGAAGGAAGCAAGCCCTAAGGCTGAAGACCCCAGAAAGATCACCAGACCAAACCTGGGCTAGAGAGGTCAAGGACACGTCCCTGGAAAAGTCACATGGTGACAAGTGCCAAAAGTTGAGGAGGGGGAGTACCAGGCAAAGAAGCTGAAGTGAGGCCTTGTAAGCAGAGGAATCAGCTTCAGCCAAGGCCAGGAAGCTGAGAGAGAAGCTGGGAGAGGGATGCTGGACAATGATGGGTTACTGTGTGTAATCATAACGGGGCAGCCTGGAGGGGTTGGGGCAAAGCCTGGATACAAAGTTCAAAGACTTGACTGTACTATAGCCTCAGGGCAGTGAGGCACCAAGGAAAGTTTAGGAAGGACAGGGTCAAATACATATTTACTAAAGCTCTTCCCAGAAGTCACATGAAAGTTGGAATGGAAGGGGAAAGAGTGGAGTAAGAATGCAGGCCTGACACATGGAGGGATCTGAGGACCAGAGACTGTGCAGGGTGTCTTACTCATGGCCAAGGAGAGGCAGTTCCATCTCTTTATTTTGACAAGTCTTCATCATCAGCTGCAAATCCCATCCCTACTCACTGCAACAAAACCTTCACCAAGGGCTTCAGCTTCTCTTTCATGGCAGTGTCTGCTGGAGGCAGGTCCTTGGCCTTCATGATATCTTCATGGGCCTCCTGGAAGAGGTCCTCCCCTACTGCAGCCTCCACACGCTGGCGCCAGGCAGCCAGCTTGGGTCGGCTTTTGAAGACATGGCAGCCAGCACTGACGGGCTATGGGAAGAGGGAGCCAGGTGGAGGGGCTGGGCATGGTCAAGCACAAGATAGCATGACCTAGTTTGGGGATCCACCAGGTGGATTTTCCTTCCTCTGCCCCATATGTTATAGGCTGGGGGTCCTCTCCCAGGAGAAACTGAGAAGCTCTTCAATATCCTTGCAGGGTGGGATTTTAAAGTCTCATTTAACAGATGAGGATACTGAGGCACAGACAAGAAACTGACTCACCCAGGGTTCCACAGCCAGAAAGGGCAACATGAACTAGTACATTGGCTCCCTCCAGGACAACCCATTCCCTAGTGGGTCACGCCACCAACCATGGCACTCACATGCATCAGTTCTGTAATGGCCATCAAGTCAGCCACTGAGATGTGGGGCCCAGCAAGAAAGGCTTCATTCTTTAGGAACTTGTCTTCAAGCAGCTGCAGGCACTTGTCCAGCTCGGTCAGAGTAGATGCCAATGTCTCAGGGGGCACCCGTTCGCCCAGGAACACAGGGAACATCATCTGGTGGGTGGGCAGGCAGGAGAGGGCTGAGCTTCTCTACCCAAAGCCCAGCCTGGTTCCTCCTTGTTCCTGCCCACCCCTTTCCACCCATAGCTACCACCTGCCCAGGCCTCACCTCCTATTCAAAGAGGGACAACCTCCACTTCTCTCTAGGTTCTCACACAGAACAGCTAGGGGGATCCTTCTACACTCTGAGCCTGCCCATATCTTTTCCCTGCATAAAGACTTCCATGGCTCCCACTGCCCTCACCACAAAGGCCTCACCACCAGATTCTCACCAGTGCAGCCGCCATCCTCTCCCCAACTCTCCACCTCCTACCCTACCCAGACTTCTCAAATGGGAACGTACCTGTGAATCCCTCTGGGATATGGTTCAAGTACACATTCCTAATCAGTATGCTTGAGCGGGGCCTGAGACTCTACATTTCCAATGAGCTCCCAGGTGATGCTGATGCTCATCTCTAGACCACACTTTTGGGAGCAAAGGTCTACACTCACTCTACATGACTTCTCTCCATACTACACTTAAATGCACCAGGCTCCTGCCCCCACCAGCTTAAGGAGGCTCCTCCCCTAGGCCCTAGAAGCTCAAGGAGGATACTTTTAAGGCAATAGAAAGCTACATTTTGCCAAATGGCCCTTCAGAACAGTGGTACCCCACCTGCAGCAGAGTATAAGCATGCCCATTTCACACTCCCTCACACAAGGCACTCATTGTGTGCCAGCAATCTACAAATAATTACTCAGAGTACACATCTCTTTCTTTTATTGTTAATCCTCACCTGAGGGTATTTTCTCATTATTTTTAGATAGAGTGGAAGAGAGGAAGGGAGAGGGAAACATTGATGTAAGAGAGACACATCAATTGGTTGCCTTCCACATGCCCCCAACAGGGGCCGGGGGATTGAACCTGCAATCCAGGTACATGTCCTTAACAAGGAATCAAACCCATGACCTTTTGGGCTGAGTGCTGGTGCTCTAACCACTGAGCAACCAACCAGGGCTCAGAGTACACATTTCAAAAACACTTGCACATTTGATAAGTAAAAATGGTATTTTTGTGCTATTTAATATGCATTTGCTTGAGTTTTACTAAAGTTAAATATGTTTCCATCCATTTATTGACCATTCCTCTCCATCTTTCCATTAAATTCCTGCCGGCTTCCCATGCCCATTTTCCTCTTGTGTCTTTGTCTGATGGATTTCTAAGAGCATACATATCTTAAATATTAAGATTATTACGTCTTTCTAACATAACTTTGTCAAGATCTTTCCCAGTTTTTGCTTGTTCTAAAATTATTAATCCTTTTTGTCCTTACACAAAATTTCATTGTATACGTAGGCTTTTAAATCTTCCACTGTTCTTAGAAATTCTTGCACACTCAGAAACCAGATCAACTTTATTTATTTATTTATTTATTTATTTACTTACTTACTTACTTATTTTATCCTCATCCAAGGACATTTTTCCATTTTTTTGTTCAGATAGAGTGGGAGGGAGGGAGGGGGAGAGAGAGAAACATCGATGTGAAAGGGACATATCGAGTGGTTGCCACTCATACAACCCAACCAGGGCTGGGGACAAACTGTAACCGAGGTACGTGCCCTTAGTGGGAACCGAACCCAGGTCTCTCTGGACTGCAGGCCAGTGCTCTAACTGCTGAGCCAAACTGGCCAGGGCAGAAACCAGATCAACTTTATTGAAATGTCTCCTCACTTCTTCCTAGTTCATTTTTTTTCACATAACACCTCTCTATATGGAAAGTATGTATGTAGCAAAGTGAGGATTTGATTTTTTTTTTCTCCCCCAAAAGGCAATATTCCCAGGCAGCCCAGATTGTACAAAGGGGCATAGGATTAATTTCCAGAAGCTCAGGAATTAAGGCACATTGGGTAGTCACTCCCTGGCTCTGCTTCAATTTCCCCTCTGAGAAATAAGATGGCTGGAGTCTCTAGCATTTTAGAGTTTTGTGTTCTAAGGTCTCAGGTCTGAACAGAATACTTTAAACAGAAAGCACTGTCCCCTGAGGATCCTGGGATCCTGGGAGGGGTCCTTGCCCCCCAGGACTCACCTTCTGCCACATGGCCCGAGTGCAGCTACTCCGCAGAGCTGTGTGCTGCCATGCCAAGTACTCATCCACACGGGCTCTGGTCTGCAGGTCCTGGGGGTACCAGTGGTCAGGGACCTCATACTTTCGGCTAAGATACAGCAGAATGGCCACACTGGGAGGGGTGAGGGAGATGTACCAGTCACTTTCCAGCTACTCCACAGGAGCCAGGCCCTGGGTGGGGCAGGCCCCTACTCCTGGCATGTGTTTTCCCACGTGGGTGGTACATTTCACTATCTCCATGGTGCAAAGTAGGAATGTGAGGCTCAGAGAGGTTAGGTGACTTCCCAGGGTCACACAGCTCTACACTGAGTTATCCTATCATCCAAATAAGGGCAGCAAATTATTATTTTTTTTAATGTTATAGGATTTCAGAAGAGGTGTGTACTCAGAAAAAAATTCCACAAAAAGGGGCTCCCAGCATGGGCCCTGAAGGATGAGAGCAATTCCAGTACGACTCCCCAAAATATCCAAAGCATGAACACAACAGGAGCAATGGCAGATGTCCCTCCCAGCCCCAGCAACTCTGCCCACTTCAAGCCACTCTCCACCCTGGGGCTGGCACAGTTAGCTGCCCAGGGCAATAAGCCATGATCCAAGCCATCAACAGAGGACACACAGATGGCTGACTGGCCCCGCATGGTCATGCAGCAGTTCAGGGACCCATTACCTCTCAGCCAAGGTGAAGTCCCCATCCTTCAAGGCTGGCACCTTCCTCAGGGGGTTAACCTGGGCAAAGGCATCGCTGTGGTGCTGACCTGTGGGAGAAACCAGTGAGGCAGTAGGAAGAACCCTGAGCCCTCCGAGGTCTCTGCCCACCCCCACCTAACATCCAAGACCCTTCTGAGGTCCCTATCCAGGTGGGGCACCATGGAAGAAGAGGCCACTCTACTGGTCACCACATCACCTCCCTCTGGAGCTTGCCCTATGGTCCAGTTACAGCCCTGCAGGCTGCACCAGATTCTGTAAACGTGGAGGGGACCTAGGCAGGGGTAAGTAGGAGTAAAGAGACCAGATCCAGATGGAACAACCTTCTCCTCCCAGGTGATGCAGAAACTCAGAGATGGGGAATACTCTCATTAGTAAATGGGGAGGCAGTTTCATTGTTTTCTCCAAGCCCCAGTGTACAGGTACTGGGGCACTCGCTCCCCTTTCTTATTCCCCACCCCAAATCCTAATGATCTTTACCTGCTCTGCTCCCTCTTAACCCATATTTTAAAGAATGTTTAGTTCATATTAGACAGAGATTGAGGCCCTTGAAAAATACACAACTCATAACTGATGCTACGTTTCCGCGCTGGAGAGTCTGTCTTCCAGTCTGTCTGCACACGCAGCGGGACCCTGAAGCGGCGCGGGCGGGCAGGGGTCCACCTGCACACAGGCGGCCCAGACCCCCAAGACTGCTTGTCCGCCCACCTTTGAGCAGCTCCACCCGGCGCAGCTCGAAAGGGATGCCGTTCTTCTTGGCGAAGATGTAAACGGCGCGGCAAGGCTGGGACAACAGGTCCAGGTAGAGCTCCAGACCCATGAAGAGGCCGGCAGGCAGACCAAAGACGGGGAAGCAGAACCGGGGCACAGGACCAGCGACCGGAACGGCGAGCAAGAACCGCCCAACCACCCAAGCCCACAGACGCACAGACGCCCGGTCACGCCCTCCTCGCCTATTGGATAGCTCCAGAGAACTTTGGACCAATCAGCAGCGTCCCGGGGTCTCGCTTTTTCCCTCTCCGGGGACTGCAAGGGAAACCTTGATTCTCGAGCTGGGGTCTCGCGGCCAGGTCACACCCCTTCTCTGGACCTGAATGTCTACCTTTGTCAAATGGGACCGGGAGAAAGGAAATGGGAAACGGGACACCAAGGGGGCTCCAGCGCTGATCCTCAGTGAATTTAGGACACCCAGGGAGGAGGCGGAGACCGGAAGGAAATCCTAGTCGCTCAGAACACTAGGGAGGAGGAGAAAGGAGAGGCAGAAGCCTTCCTTAGTTCTGGTGCGCAGTGCCCAGGGTGGAAGTTGGGAAGGGTGTCTGGACCTTCTCTCTGCAAGGGCCTAGCCCACATTCCAAGAAAGAATTAACTGCTCCTCCCCAACCTCTAGAATCGTATTCATTACACTCCAGTTAATCCCTCCCAGGGAGCAGAAGCCCTGTGGGGCTCATCTAGAGGTTTGCAGGGGACCTAGAACTTACCCACTTGTTCAGCAGGACCAAGTCCTCCAACTGTGACCCTAGAGCTCCTTAGGCCTTTGGCTATAATGCCCCATTCTCTAAGAGAGCCTCCTGGGTTAAGAACACTCTGCCCCTAAACCCAAGATTCAGAGAAAGCCACTTGGCAAGAGGATCAGTTATGGGAAATTTTAAGAATAGTTTGGATTTCGTGGTCTCCCATGTTTCCCAATTAAGGAAGCCCTATGCTCCCCTCCCCCCAAGAGTGCCTTCCTAGCCCAGCCCTGCAGCCCTCTCCAGGCTGGAAGGAGCATGTTCTCCACTCCCATTCAGTGGTCTGCCCTTCTCCACAAGTCACCTTTGACTGGATTACTGCAAGATCCAAACTTCCTGCTTCCTCCCTGGTCACCCCCTAGTCCAACCCTACCAGTAGCCAGAATATTATTCTAAAACACAATCTGAGCACACCATTCCTGTTCATGGTTTAGAGATCCTAGGTGTGGCATTTAAGGCTCTGAGTGACTGAGTCCTGACCGTGTAACACAGTAAAATTCTCGGTCTCTGACTTCATCATGTTCAAGCCTGCTTTGTTTCCATGCCCTTCAGGCTAATAGCTTCAGCTCAGTCTTGCATACAGACACGCTAATCATTAGAGGAATTCTGCTTGAGGTTTGAGTTTTACAAAGACAGCCCCTCCCATTTCCCCTTTTCTTGACATAAAAGAAGCCTGAACTCTTTGGTAAGATAAATATGAGGAGCCACTAAGGCTCCTATCTTCTCAGTTGTGCTAATTTTGAGTTTTGGCCTTTCAAAGCTTTGGGCACATGAACTTTGGACTGGTAGCAACCAGGAGGGCTGCTGTTCAGATTTTCCCCTCCCCTGACCTATTCCTCAGGACAAATGCAAAACTCATGACTTAGAGTATTTGGTGCCAAAGGGCAATGTCCTTCGAGGCTGCCCCAGCCAAATGATCTACTACCATACCTACAAACCAATACATGGTGGATGCCTGCTAACCCCTATCTGTCTAATAAATCACTTTCTCTAAGAAGCAGAAGGCTAGAGCTGTTGTTAATTTCACTCTTGGCAACCAGCAGTGGGAAGCTGACCCACAGGGCCTAGGAAAGGGGGATGGGAGTTGTCTTTTGGATAAAGACCAAGACCAGGGCCAAGGCAGAAGAAAGGTCAGACAAATCACACATCAAAGTTAGAAATAGAGGCTCAAGCTAAGCCCAGGTTTATTTCCCAAATGGAAAACAAAATATAATGATTAAAGGAGACAAGGTCTGAGTGTGCTATTCTCATCTCATGGCTCTCAGGCATCAGTGGAAGATGGGGTGGGGGTAGGCACCTGACCTGAGGAGCAACGGGGCTCGGGCAAGTCATTCCTGCTCTCTGGATCTGCATCCCATGGGACACTGAAATGAAGGGGCTTTGTGAACTGCAAACAGCAGAACAGGGGTGAGGCAGCTCAGCTCATTGTATCATGGCCAGCACCCTAGGCATCAGCTTCTGCTTTACGGAAGGGTCTGCAAGTGGAAAGTCCTTGGTCTTCAGGATGACCTCATGGGCCTCCTGGAAGAGGACCACCCCCACTGCTACCTCCACGCGCTGGCGCCATGCTGCCAGCTTGGGTCGGTCTTCAAAGATTTGGCAACCAGCACCCACGGGCTGTAGGGAAAAGGGGTACAGAACAGGATAGAGATGAGTGGGTGAGGCCAAGAATGATAGCATCTGCCTGGCTTGGGGACCACATAGCTCCAGAAGAGGATGCCACAAATAAGCACAGTCCCATGGCCAGGTGGGGACAGCATGAGCAGGACTTCAGCAACCCACCCTACCTAGCAAGCCCATTCGGCCCACAGTACTCACATGCATCAGCTCTGTGATGGCTACCAGGTCAGCCAGGGAAATGTGGGGCCCTGCGAGAAAGGCCTTGTTCTGGAGGAACTTGTCTTCAAGTACCTGCAGGGTCACATCCAACTCTGCCAGTGTGGCTGCCAGCATCTCGGGAGATACCGGCTCACCCAGGAAAACAGAGAACATCACCTGGTGGATGGGAAGGCAAAGAGGAGGTAGTGGGAAGTTAGGGCCAGCCTACCCTTGGGGGCACCCCCCCTACCCCTGGAGCTGCTTCCTGGTCCCATGTACCTTTCTTCTGTCCTGGATAGGCTTGCAGGGAAATCCCCAAAGAACCCCTTTTTCCTGAGCTATTCCTGCTGCCATGAACTCTGACTGGCTGAGGCTCAGAGGCTTCTGAAAGACTCAGACCTCTTTAAGAATGACTCAAAGGAGTCTGGCCGGTGTGGCTCAGTGGTTGAGCATCAAGAGGTCACCGGCTCAATTCCCGGCCAGGACACATGCCCAGATTATGGGCCCGACCCCCAGTGGGGGGCATGCGGGAGGCGGCCAGTCGATGTTCTCTCTCATCAATGTTTCTATCCCTCTCTCCCTTTCACTTCCTCTCTCTCTAAAATCAATAAGGGGAAAAAAATTTAAAAAAAAAAAAGAATGACTCAAAGGAAACCCAAGCACTGAATTTCCTACTTTGGTGGAGGGGAGGGGACTGGGTTAGGAACTAAGTGTTTTATAACCTCTTTCCTCCTGATATAAAATCTGATCCCTCTTACACTATGAGTAATTAGGAGGATGCACTTTTAAGGTCCCCATTCTGTCACTTATAAACTATGTGACGTAGAGCAAAACATGCAAACCCTCTGAACCTCGATTTCCTTGTCTATGATATAGGAATAACAAAAATGAGTCATATTGTATATAAAAAAGTGTGGCCCAGAAAGAAAGTTTCCAGAGATGGCACAGCCAAGATAAGACTCAGCTAAGTATAGAGCCAATGTCTTAACACCCATTGAGCTACCAGGGAATAAAGAAGGGAGCCAGGGCAGAAAGGTGTCTAGGATTTAGGGAGGAGGGCATTTTAGGCAAAGCCATCAACAGCCAAACCCCAACAGCTAGCCCCCCTCATTTATTACCCGTTTGCCTTGTACTTGCAAAATTGGAACTTCTGTTCCGACTTGGTAGTTCAAAAGTTCTTAGGATTTTTTTGTGTTGTTTTTTTTTTTTTTTGTAAATATGGAACGTGCCCTGGCCAGTTTTGCCTAGCGGTTAGAGCATCGACCTGCGGTCCAGAGAGACCCGGGTTCGGTTCCCACTAAGGGCGTGTATCCCAGTTGCAGTTTGTCCCTGGCCCTGGTTGGTCGTGCGGGTGGCAGCCGCTCGATGTGTCCCTTTCACGTCGATGTTTCTCTTTTTCTCTCTTCCTCTCTCTCCCTCCCACTCTATCTGAACAAAAAAGTGAAAACATGTCCTCGGGTGAGGATAAAAAAATATATATATATGAAACACTTCACGAATTTGCATGTCTTCCTTGCACAGGGGCCATGCTGATCTTCTCTGTATCATTACAATTTTAGTATATGTGCTGCCAAAGCGAGCACAGTTCTTAGGGTTTTAAAAAGTGTTTTTGTTCCTCTTTATATATAAAAGACCATAAGAGGGCAATAAAATTCTGATTTATTTACATGATGAAATACTGTAGAGTAATTAAAAATTAATAAATTAGATCCATCAGAACAATATGTAAAAATGCAAGTTGCAGAATAGTATGAGAGCATTTATATAAACTTTTAAACACTCAAAGCAAAACTGTATTTTGCTTATAGCTATACATAAATGTAGTAATATAGAAAATCATAAACTAGAAAGACTTGCACCAGATCTCAGAGCAGGGTGGCTCTCAGGAAGGGCTGAGGACAACAAATAGGTCTTTTAACTTTTGTTCTCTAATGTTTCTTTCTTATATAAAAAGTTATATGAGACCACCTGGCCGGTGTGGCTCAGTGGTTGAGCATCGACCCACGCACCAAGAGGTTGCCAGTTTGATTTCTGGTCAGGGCACGTGCCCAGGTTATGGGCCTGATCCCCAGTCGGGGGCATGCAGGAGGCGGCCAATCAATGTTCTCTCTCATCGATGTTTCTATCTCTCTCTCCTTCTCCCTTCCTCTCTCTCTCTAATATCAATAAAGAAAAAAATGTTTCTTAAATTATGAGACAAAACAATAAATCTCATGATCCAGAATTAGTCAAACATTTTTTAAAATGAGCCCTGGCCGGTTTGGCTCAGTGGTTAGAGCGTCTGCCTGCAGTCAGGAGAGACCCGGGTTCGGTTCCCGCTAGGGGCGCGTACTTCGGTTGCAGTTTGTCCCCAGCCCTGGTTGGTCGTGCGGGTGGCAGCCACTCGATGTGTCCCTTTCACATCGATGTTTCTCTCTCTCTCTCTCTTCCTCTCTCTCCCTCCCACTCTATCTGTACAAAAACTGGAAAAATGTCCTCGGGTGAGGATTAAATAAATAAATAAATAAATAAATAAATAAATAAAATGAGGAGTTCCACTTCTGATTAGGATATCAGCAGTCACAAAACTATTGCTCCCACCATAATGACCCTGAAAAGAAAATAGCCTTATATTTCTTTAAGCCACCAAAAAGTTATAGAACTTTTTTAGAAGGAAAAGAAAAGAAAGAACAAAAATGGAAAAGAAAAAAGCCAAACTTATACTGTTCAATACAGCAGCCACAAGCTTCAGGTGGCTATTGAACTCTTGAAGTATGACTGGTCTTAGCTGAGATGTTCTACACATATAAAATGCATACCAGATCCTGAGGACTTAGTACCAAATATATATATATATATATATATATATTTCATTAATAAATTTTCTAGCCCTGGCTGCTAGTGTGGCTCAGTTGGTTGGGTGTCGTCCTCAGCACCCAAAGGTTGCTGGTTCAATTCCCAGTCAGGGCCATGCCCAGTAGGGGGCGTGCAGGAGGCAGCTGATGGATGCTCCACTCTCACATAGATGTTTCTCTCTCCCTTCCTCTCTCTCTCTCTCTCTCTCTCTCTCTCTCTCTCTAAAAAAATCATTACAAATATTTTTTTAAACCCTGGCTGGTTCGGCTCCGTAGTTAGAGTATCAGACCACAAATCAAAGGGTCACGGGTTTGATTGCTGGTCAAGGGCACATAACTGGGTTGCAGGTTCAATCCCCAGCCCTAATCTGGGTCATGTAGGAGGCAACCAATCGATATGTCTCTCTCACTCAATGTTTCTCTGTTTCTCTTTCTCTCTCTCTCCCTCCCTTCCACTCTATCTAAAAATCAATGGAGCCCCGCAGATGTGGCTCAGTGGTTGAACGTCGACCCATGCACCAAGAGGTCACCAGTTCGATTCCTGGTCAGGGCACATGTGCAGGTTGTATGCCAAATCCCCGGTGAGGGGCATGCAGGAAGCAGCCAGTCGATATTCTGTCTCATCGATGTTTCTCTCTCTCCCTCTCCCTTCCTCATTCAATAAAGAAAAAAAAAGTTCTTTTAAAAAATAAATAAAAAAAATAAAAATCAATGGAAAAATATCCTCAGATGAGGATTAACCAAAAAACTAATAATAAATTTTAAAATATTTTTAATAAAATAAATTTTCTATTGATTACATTTTGAAATGATACCTTTTAAAATTTTAATTATGGTAACACATCATAAAATTTACCATTTTATTTAATTATCAGTGTTCAGTTGAGTGGCGTTAAGTTTATTTACATAGTTGAGCAACCATCACCATCATCCATCTCCAGAACTCGTTTCATCTCGCAAAACTGAAACTGTCCCCATTAAAACGTGCATCCATTCTTCTCTCTTCACCAACCACTGGTAACTATTATTCTAGTTTCTGTCTCTATGAATTTGACTACTCCGCGTACTTCATATAAGTGGAATCATACAATATTTGTCCTTTTCAGTTTGTCTTATTTCATTTAGTATAATGTTTTAGCATAATGTTTTCAAGGTTCATCCATGTTGTAGCATGTATCAAAATTTCCTTCCTCCTTAAGGCTGAATAATATCTCATTTTATGTTTGTACCATATTTTGTTTAGCCATTCGTCCATCAAAGAACACAGAGACTGTTTCTACCTTTTGGCTATCGTGAATAATGCTGTTATGAACACAAGTGTAGAAATAACCTCTTTGAGACCCTGCTTTCAATTATTTTGGGTATATACCCAGAAGTGAATGGCTGGACCATTTGGTAATTCAACCTTTAAATTTTTTTTACTTTATTATTGAATTTATTGGGGTGACATTGGTTAATACAATTATATAGCTTGCAGGTGTACAATTCTATAATACATCATCTGTATATAGTATTGTGTGTTCGTCATCCCAAATCAAGTCTACTTCCATCACCATTTATCCAACTTTTAATTTTTTGAGGATCTGCCATATTGCTTTCTACAGCTGCATCAATTTACATCCCTACCAACAGTGCACCTGAGTTCCAATTTCCTCACATCCTCACCAACACTTGTTATTGTCTATGTACCATCCTAATGGGTGTGAAGTAGTAGTTTTCATTTTTGTTTCCCTAATAACTAGTGTTGCTGAGCATCTTTTCATGTGTTTATAAGTGTATTAATTTCACTTATTTCTTCTTACTTTTTAAATGTGGCTACTAGAACATTTAAAACTACATGTGTGGTACTGGCTGGTTTGGCTTAGCAATTTGAGCATCAACCCACAGACCAAGGAGTCATGGGTTCGATTCCAGTCAAGGGCATGTACCTTAGTTGCGGTTCATCTCCAGCCCTGGTCGGGTCCTACAGGAGGCAACCAGTCAATGTGTCTCTCTCACACTGATGTTTCTCTCTCTCTCTCTTCCTCCCTCCTAAATGGAAAAATAGCCTCAGATGAGGATTAAAATAAATAAATAAATGAATAAATAAAACTACATATGTGCCTCACTTTATGCTTCCATTGTGCAGCACTGGACTAAATGAACTATTTCCAGAGGGTCACGGGCCCTTCCTAGATAAACCACTTTCTTCCCTGGGGACTAAGCAGGTAGGACTCAAGTTTGCCATTGGCAAAGGACTTCTCTGACTAAGCAGCCATGTGAGGAACTGAAGGTAGGACTGAAAAGTAGAGAGATCTCATGGTTGTAGTTAGATTCCTGCTGGAACAATCAAGGAATCTGATCCAACCCTAAAACCAGAGATGAATTGAAACTAAAGCTGCAACCCAACCGAGCTACTGATTAGCTGTAAGAGATTAACCTCCACCCAGGCTTACTGACAAAAGTGCAAGCCCCTTCCAGGGGTACTTATTATGTACTTCAATCTCTACCCTTATGCACAATGTCTGGCACACAATAATAAATTATAAGACATGGAAAGATAGAGGAAAATGTGACCGATCCATAAACAAAAGGGTAAAAACAATTAATAGAAACAGACGCACAGAGAACCCAGGCATTAAAATTCACTAACAAAGACTTTTAAGTAACTATTATAAATGTGTTTAAGAATTTAGAAGAAAAGATGGACCAAACAGGTGAGGAGGTGATGAATTTCAGCAGAGCAATGGAACTCTAAAAAAGAACCCCAATGACATTTCTAGAAATGAAAAAAATACATATCTCAAATAAAGAATGTATTAGATGGGCCTGGCTGGTGTGGCTCAGTGATTGAGTGTTGACCCATGCACCAAAGGTTGCAGGTTCGATTCCCAGTCAGGATACATGCCCAGGTTGTGGACCCGATCCCCAGTGAGGGGCATGCAGGAGGCAACCAGTCGATATTCTCTCTCATCAATGTTTCTATCTCTCTCTCCCTCTCCCTTCCTCTCTTTCTCAAATCAATAAAAAAAGAAAAAATATTTGTTGAAAAAACAATGTATTAGATGGGCTTAACAGCAACCTGAGCACACCAGAAGACAGGATTAGTGAAGTCAAAGTCAGGTCAGTAGAAACTGTCCAAACTGAAAAGAAAAATGTGATGGTACCTGAGCCTTTTGAGGTGATGCCCTCACTGCCCCCCTCTCAGGGCCTCACCTTATGCCACAGGGTCCGGAGGCAGTTTCTCCGCAAGGTTGTGTGCTGCCATGCCAGGAACTCATCCACACGGGCACAAGCCTGCAGGTCCTGAGGGTACCAGTGGTCAGGGACCTTATATTTGCGTGTCAGGTAGAGTAGGATGGCCACACTGCAGGAGAGGAGAGGACACAATGGGTGTAGAAAGGGCTGTGCTAGACGCTTTATACAGAGTCCCTTCTTTAATCTTCCTGACAACATGCAAAACATTTGCCTCAGTTTTCAAACAAGGAAGCCAGGCTTAGAACAGTGAAGGGACTTGCCCTGGGCACACAGCTTTTGGTGGCAGCAGAGCTGAGAGTCTTTCTGAGGCCAGCACCCAAGCTCATCCTACCACCAGGCAAAATCCCTCAGCAGAGTGTCCTGCCATGTGCTCAGAGACAATTTTTTTTTTTTTTTAATCCTCACCCAAGGACATTTTTCCATTTCTTGTTCAGATAGAGTGGGAGGGAGAGAGAGTAAGAGAGAGAAAGAGAGAAACACACAACCAACTAGGGCCGGGGACAAACTGCAACCAAGGTACGTGCCCTTTGCGGGAACTGAACCCGGGTCTCTCTGGACCACAGGCCGACGCTCTAAGCGCTGAGCCAAACCAGCCAGGGCTCAGAGACAGTTTCTGATGGGAGGGCCAGAGAGGGCTTCCTGGAGGAGATGGCATCAAAGCTGAGCCTTAAAGAAGCTCAATTCTTGCCCTGGCTGGTTGGGCTCAGTGGTTGGAGTGTCGGCTCGCGGACCAAAGAGTCACAGGTTCAATTCTGGTCAGGGGCGCGTGCCTTGGTTGCGGTTCGGTCCCCAGACCTGGTCGGGGTTGTGCGGGAGGCAACCTCGATGTGTCTCTCTCACATCGACATTGCTTTCTCTTTCTCTCTCTCTCTCCCCGTCCCACTCTATCTGAAGATAAATGGGAAAATATCCTCCGGTGAGGATTAAAAAAAAAAAAAAAAATGCAGCTTAATTCTTTCAAGTCTGCATCTACTGTCCTTATCTGGCATTCAGACCAGCCTCGGATGGCTGGTTGTTCACAAGACTTTCCTGTTCTGTTTGTTCTTTGTCATCCCTTTGTGCTCCTGTAGGAAACAGGGGCTACTGCAAGATCATGAAACAGCAGAACAGAGGGGGCCCCTGGAGCTTTCCTCCTGCTCTGGGTTATGAGGGCTGCCCTGGTGTTGGGACAGGGATGCACTAGGAGGGGCACGGAGGATGTGTGAATCTGGGGCCACAGGAAGCCTTCCAGGAACTTGGGATACCCCAAGGCTGGGCACCCCAGCCAAAATAGCAGAAAACCTCTGTATCTGCTACTGGTCCATCATCCTATTTGAAATCCTTCCCCCACACCGCAGCTTAACAACTCACCTCTCTGTGCAATACACTCTGAAGCTCCTTTTGCTCCCAGCTAATTGTTCATGCCACCTCTGAGGAGGCTGGCAGGTCCCTGGGAGCCACAGACTTCCCAAGGGGGACAGAAGAGACAGAGGAATACAGATATTGCATGCTACCCTGGCAGATACCCATGGGTGCTCAACACTAGGTGACGAAAGGACTCAGAAAAGGAGAGGCCACAGGAAGGAAAATGGCAGCACTGGCAGAATGTCTTGAGGAATTTTGGGGGTTGCATCTGTCGCCATATTCCAGAGGTGCCTTGTAAAGCTCCTTCTTGTGGGAGGGGTGACTTCAGTGATGAAAGGAGCAGAACCAGGAAAAGGTTTGGTCTTCTCTAAAGAGGTTTCCACTTCTTAGAATCTGTTGTGATGTAAAATGTCCACATGTCTTGGGGTCCTCCTATGGATAAGGCCCACCCAGGGAAGCTGCAGCTGGGAGATGCAGCCACTGGGCAGCCCAGATACCCCTGGGCCATCTGGCATTCAGACAAGTTTGGCCAGAGGGCTACCTTTATGAGGGCTTGATGCTGCTACTCCCTGCCCTGCACCCCTGCTCTGGGGTGCTCTTACTAACAGTCACAGGATTGGTACAGAAGTAAAATGCACACTTGCTTTCCAACCATCCCTGTGGCTAGTCCACCAAACAGGTGGGGGTCTGGGTTCAGACCTGATTCTCTGTGGGATGATGGGCAAAGGGCCCTTCACCGCTGAGAACTTTTTTTTTTTTTGGTCTATAAAATAGAAGGTTAGGACAAAATGGTTCCAGCAAGGCTTGGTAGCAGCCCAGGGCCCCAGTTACCTCTCTGTCAATGTGAAGTCCCCATCCTTCAGGACAGGCACCTTCTTCAGGGGGTTTACCTGGGCAAAGGCATCGCTGAGGTGCTGGCCTGCAGAGAGCACATCACTATGGTGGTAATAGAAAAATGCTGAGCCCTGTATGGCCTGTGCCCACTCCCTGAAATGCCCAGGCCCCAATTCCACAACTCTTTCCCAGCCTCCAACTGCTTTCCTGCATGGCAAAGGTTGGTAGGAAGAAAAAACAGGAAGCTGCTCTGCCAGGTGGTGCAAAATAGGCCTGGACACCCCTTGGCAAGTCCCAAAAGGCATAACCTCCCTCCCCCCCGCCCCCCATAGCACAGCCCTCTGCAACACAGCTCAAGGTGCAGGGCACGGTGCTGCAGTCTGGCCTTCATACACACCCTATCACCGCTTTTGCATCATCAGTAGCTTCATGAGCTCATATTTGGGGTGTGCCAAGCTTCAAGTGCAGGGTGGCTGAGTTCTGACTTCCTATAGTGCCCTAAGTAGGGACACCAAATACAGAGAAGTGGCCTTTTCCTTATATCGATTTAACTGCACCCAACTTCTACTGGCCCCTCTGTGCCCTCTTGCTCACCTTGTCTGGGCACTGGGGACACAGAGCTGGTCCTGCCTTTAGGCTCTGCTGGAGCTGGAGCAGTAGCATTCTCGACCTACCCACAGCCCCTGAAAGTTATAGCCCAGTTTCCCATCCCCCACTCCCCAAAGGACCCTGGCCTCTGCTTGAGTTTATCTGAGAGGTTTCTGCTCCTGCAGATGCACCCAGGGAGAAGCTTCTAAATGGCACTTAAGTTTCATCACTGCCCTGCTCAACAGCCTTCAGTGGCTGCCCATTACCCCAGGATTGGGGAAAGTTCCTCAAAGCTATACACAATTGTCTTGACTCTCCAGCCTCGACCACACCCATGATCCTCCCTTTTCCCTCCGTTCAAACTGTTTCTTCACCAAGAACACCCTCCCTCCTCTCCTGGTGAAACGCATCTCCCTTTGCACCCCTCTATTTGACAACCTTGCTGGGACACCCTTTGCTCTCATGCCCTCTCTCCTGCCCCACACTCTGCAGAGGTAACCGCTGGGTATATGGCAGTCCACAGAGGAGACTGGGAAGAGATGATGATTCAGGCAGAAAGGCAGGCCAGTGCAAAGGCACCAAGTCATGGTGTTGAAGTGCTGGGTAGAAGGTTCAGTCAAGTATGCCCTGGCTGGTTTGGCTCAGCGGTTAGAGCGTTGGCCTGCGGTCTGGAGAGACCCGGATTTGGTTCCCACTAAGGGCACGTACCTCAGTTGCAGTTTGTCCCCGGCCCTGGTTGAGTCGTGTGGGTGGCAACCACTCAATGTATCCCTTTCACATCGATGTTTCTCTCTCTCTCTCTCTCTCTCTCTCTCTCTCTCCCTCCCTCCCTCCCACTCTATTTGAACAAAATATTAAAAACTGTCCTCGGTTGAGGATAAAAAAATAAAGAAGGCTCAGTCAAGTAGAGTCACCCTACTTTCCCCCCAAGCAATACGTGGGTTCTACACCCAAATGCCAGAACTCTGTGTGTCACTTGTGTCCTTGAGGCTTTGGGACCCTGCCAAAGAAACAAATCCTCCTGCTCAGGGTGTAGGGTTCACCAAGTTCCCAAAACACCCCTCCCACTCCCAGTATACCTCATAGAGTGCCCTCTCTTCATCAGGAATAAGAGAAACAGCCTGGCTGGTGTGGCTCAGTGGCTGAACGTCAACCCACACACCTGGAGGTTGCTGGTTCAATTCCCAGTCAGGGCACATGCCTAAGCTGTAGGCCAAATCCCCAGTGGGAGGCATGCAGGAGGCAGCCAGTTCATGTTCTCTCTCATCGATGTTTCTTTCTCTCTCTCCCTCTCCCTTCCTCTCTCTCTCTAAAATAAATAAAGAAAAAAAATTTTAAGAGAAACAGAGGACAAAGTGAATAAAGACAAAGTTTGAGGAGAAGGGGAAGGGATAGAAGGGGACTCCAATGCAGACTGGGCCAGTGCAGAGAGCAGGGCTGGAAAGTCAGGCAGTGCCTGCTGTTGCAAGATTTCAGCAGTTGGAGACCACAAAGGAGAGACTGGATTATGTCTCCGTCTCTCTCTTTTTAAAAAAACTGTTGTTGTTGTTGTTGTTGTTAATCCTCACCCCAGGATTTTTAGAGAGAGTGGAAAAAAGGAAGAGAGCACAATAAACAACGCTGTGAAAGAGACATCTTCAATTGGCTGCCTCCTGAAAAACCCCAAACGGCCAGGGATTGACCCTGTAACCCAGGTACGTGCCACCCCTGAGCGAGAATCAGGCTTGAATTCTCTGTGCCAAACTGGCCAGGGATGTCCCAGTCTCTACACCTGGTCTCCTTAACCCCTCTCTTCCTGCCCTCATCTCTTGTCCAGAGGTCCCCTGTCCCTATGCCTAGGGGCACCGCTTTTTTCACCAAGTCTCTCCTTTCCTCACGATTGGCCCCCTCACCCCCACCCCATCGCTTTATTTGGCCTCAGCTGAGCCCTGTCCTCTATTCTTGGGACCAAGCAGAGTTTAGGGCATTACCAGAATCTCGGAACTTCCTGGTGGCTCACCTTTTTTCACAGTGGCCCCAGGAAGGAGGTGGCACAGGGAGGGGTCCCCCTCCAGTGGTTCTCAACCTTCCTAATGCCGCGACCCTTTAATACAGTTCCTCATGTTGTGGACCCCCAACCATAAAATTATTTTTGTTGCTACTTTGTAACTGTAATTTTGCTACTGTTATGTCTTAGGTGACCCCTGTGAAAGGGTCCTTCGACCCCCAAAGGGGTCGCAACTCACAGTTTGAGAACCGCCTTCCTTAAGGCCTAAGCGATGTTTGGCCTCCCGGTTCCTGCCCGACCTCTCAGGTCCGAAACCCCGTCCCACCCACCTTTGAGCAGCTCCACCGGGCGCAGCTCGAAGGGGATGCCATTCTTCTTGGCGAAGATGTAGACGGCGCGACAGGGCTGGGACAACAGGTCCAGGTAGAGCTCCAGACCCATAGCAAGGGGAGGAGAACCAAACTCAACACCCGCAAGCCACAGCAGGCCGAGAGCTGAGGCGCAGGACCCGATTTGGCAATGTGGCCACGCCCCCTGGAGGCCGTTCCCCATTGGGCAGCTCCCGGTGCCTGGACTCCTTGGTCCAATGGCTGGTGCCGCCTGGGCGTGTCTGAGAGGCTGGAGCCTGGGGCTCAGGGCCCAGCCAGAAGGGTGGCGATGGAAGGGTCACCCCTCCCAGGGTTTTGGGAGAGGTCCCATTCCAGTCCTTTGTAACTGGCTCATTGATTTAGAACAATAGCTTCAAGTTTCATCTATCAGCACGTATGAGAATTTTCTGTCATCCCCATTTTACAGATGAGGAAATTAGGCACAGAAATGAATACAGACCCAGAAAGTTTTCAGATATCCTGTTTCTGAAAGGGTTAGTAATGTTTCAACAAAATTAAACTTCATTCTGACCAGTTATTCCTGCACATAAACACCTGAGCAGTTTTCTAAAAAACCCTGGGACTGAAACCCAGAGGAACCATAAAGATAAGGGGTTAATTGTAGCCTTGGAAAACTTGGAGGGAGCATAAAAAAGAAAGAGATTAATGGCTGCCCTGATCTCTGTAACAAGCTCATCTCGTTCCCTGCAACAGATTCCTCCCTTGCCTCTGTAGCCGTTCATATCAGCCCCTGGTACCAAAAAGCGGCACCAAGAGAATGCAGTTTTTTTGTAGTTTCTGTAGTTTGTGCCTATATAAGCCAGAGAACAAAAAAGGCTCGAGGCTGACCCTTCTCGGCTCAGCTTGCCTGCACACAGGCGTATGTAATAAAGCTATTTTGCTCTACAGTGGCCTCGTAGTGTGGATGTGCTCTCCCGCCAGCTCAGACCTTTTAGTTTTCATTCCCTTTGGATATATATACCCAGAAGTAGGATTGCTGGATCTCTCAACATTTTAAAGATGGAGAAACAGAGGCCCAGAGAAGAAAAAAAAACAAACTCAGAGAATGTGAGGCACTGTGCCAACAAAAGCAGAAAGACCGAGGCTGCCAAATTCCCGGTGTGCATGCAACTGGAGTGAAGTGAGCTATCACAAAATGTTGACCATAAGCCCCAAGGCTTTGACACTTGCTAGAACCAGGATCTCTGGAGGGTGGGGCTAAGAGCATGGAGTCTACAGGCAGACTTTCTGTTTTATTCCATTGTGTTCAGAGAACATACATTGTTATGATTTCAATCTGTTTAAACTTGTTAAGATTTTATGACCTAACATACGGTTTATGGTGGAGAATATTCCACATGCACTCGAAAAAAATGTTTATTCTGCTGTTCTTGAGTGTTTTGTGTATATATAGTAGATCTAATTGGTTTATAGTGTTGTTCAAGTCTTCTATTTTTCTGATTTTCTCCTGTCTCGTTTTCTATGGTTTATTGATAATGGAATATTAAAGTCATCAACTATTATTATTGACAGTTTACTTATATTTAATCTTTAATTTTTTTTATTCCTCACCTGAGGATATTTTTCTACTTATTATCAGATAGGGAGGGAGGGAGAGAGACAGAGAGAAACATCCATCGATGTGATAGAGCCACATGGACTGGTTGCCTCCCACATGACCCCACCAGGGCCGAAGACAAACTGCAAGCAAGGTACGTGCCCTTGACCAGAATCGAACCCGAGACTCATTGGTCCACGGGCCGATGCTCTAACCACTGAGCCAAACCGGCCAGGGCTAATCTTTCATCTTTAAATTCTTTTGGAAGCTGGGAGGACCCATTACCACCCACTCCCACATCGAACACTATGTTCACACCAATTGTTGCAGGCTCAGCAGCCATGGTGGTTGATCCAGTTCTTTATTGAGCAAAGAGACAGAGTTGTCTTTAGCGTCTCTCCCAGGGAAGGAGGCTCAGAGGGCTGAGCCAGCCAAGCCCTGCAGGATAGGTTGCTTCTACTGGAACTTCTGCATCATCTTGCAGATCCTCTCTTTGACCGACGGATCCAACACTGAACTGTCCCACTCTGCCAACTTCACCAGCCGGGTGTGGGCCTCCGAGATAAGGGTGGGGCCAATGGTTAACTCCACTCTCATGCGCCACTCAGCCAGCTTGGAGCTGGTAAGGAAGACATTGTGGTTACCCCCCATGGGCTGTGGATAGACAAAGTGGAAGGCATGGTCAACCTGGGGACCAACCCCTGCATGGCTCTCCTCCAACAGCCTCAGTTAGTCTGCTGATCCCTGAGGCCTGGACAAGGGGTCACAGGCTCTGTAATAGTCATGGAATGGAGATGGAAGATCTGGAACTCCTCAGGGTTCTTGGTCACTGGTCTTGCTCCAAGGCTCCTAATTCCTCTCTGAGGTGAGCCCTGGCCCAAGTGTTTCCTACTTTTTCCAGTGTGAAGCTTCCCATGGGCCCTACCTTCTTCCAGAAAAAAACCCCTTGTCCCAGATGAAGGTTTGAGGAATCCCCACCCCCATGTTGAACCTCCCTCTTTGGTCAAGCAAAGGGGCTGACATAGGAGACCCAGGAGGCAACCTAAGAAACATGCCCCCAGGATGTTTGGGAGGCCCATAGAGGGTGAGGTGAGAGAAATAAATGTAAGGGGTGGGGGTGAAATGTAAGGGCTATACCCCTGGAACAGAAAATCTGAAAAGGTTTTTTCTGATGCTGATCTGCATTACACAATGACCAAAGATCAAAGTGGCCACTTTGAAACTGGCCAGAAATGATGCTGGCCTTGCAAGACACTGGCCAGGTTCTAAACTGGACATCCTGCACACCAGCTAAGTTAGAACTGGACACCCTCCCTTGCATGAAGAAGCTCCATAAATGTCCCACACTCAGGTATGTCCCCAAATGCACAGTGGCTGCCCAAGAGACCCAGAGGCAGGGGAGCTGCTCTGTACAGCTAGCTATCTGGAGCTCTGGAAAAGAAACAGTTCAGCCAGAAGGACCCTTTGGAAACTTCTGAACACTGCCTGGAGAGTCCATCAGAGGTGGAGGTATCCAAGACCCTGGCTGGCTGACCAAGAAATGTTGGGTTCTTCTCCCTATTCCAGGCTCACCCTCCACCACCTTCCTTTCAAAACTTTCTGTGTTTTCTGTGGTCCTCAGATCTAGTCCAGCCACCCAAACTTGGCTTCCACAGCCTCTATGTCTCCATCTTCACCAGCTTATCCTTAAGCTATGGTCCCAGTGGTCACAGAGGAGTTCCCACCTCTGTCTAGGCTCTGTTTCCCCATCACCAAACTCCACACCTGCATCATCTCCACCAGAGCCACCAAGTCAGCCAGTGAGATGTTGTCCCCAGTGATGAACATCTTGTCCTGCAGAAACTTCTCCTCAAAGAGCTTCAGGTTTTTATTCACCTCTGCTAGTATCTCTTCTGTCTTCTCAGCTGGAACTTCCTCACCTGTGATCATCGGGATCAGCAGCTGGCCAGGGTTGGGGAGAGGAGGGAAGAGGAGGCTGCACCCCAGTGCCCCAGGCCTGACCATCTTGTCCTCAATACCCTTGTCTGCTAGAGAAGTATTGGACAGAACCAAGAATGTAAAGTGGTTTCACCTCTTTTAGCAGTTCTGGCTGGCAGAAATTACCTAGGGCCATTGGTCAGAAGAATTTTGAGATCCCAGTAGGAAAGAATCCTGTGATTGATTAGTGATGTCTGTCACAGGTGTATGTAAAATAAGAAGTATGGGCACATGTAATTGTTACAGTCATGCACCACCATGGACCACATACATATACAATAGTGATTCCATAGATTATAATGGGGTTGAAAATTCCTGTTGCCTAGTGATCTCATAGCTGTCATAATGTAGTGCAATGAATTATTCACATGTTTGTGATGATGCTAGTGTAAACAAACCTACTACACTGCCAGGTGTATAAAAGTACAGTACATACCATTCTGTACAGTATATATGATAATAAATGACTACCTTTCTGGTTTATGTATTTACTATACTATACTTTTTTTTTTTAATTCTCACCCGAGAACATTTTTATGCATTTATCTTCAGGTAGAGCGGGAGGGAGACAGGGAGGGAAAGAGAGAGAGAAACATCGATGTGAGAGAGACACATCGAGTGGTTGCTACCCACACGACCCCTACCCGGGCCGGGGACAAACTGCAACCGAAGTATGCGCCCTTAGCAGGAACTGAACCCAGAACTCTCTGGTCCGTGGGCCGACGCTCTAACCACTTAGCCACACAGACCAGGGCTATACTTTTATCATTTGTGGTTTTTTTATAGTGTTTTCTTTCTTTTTTTATTGTTAATCCTCACTCAAGGATATTTTTCCATTGATTTTTAGATAGAGTGGAAGAGAGGGTGGGGGAGAGAGAGAGAGAGAGAGAGAGAGAGAGAGAGAGAGAGAGACATTGATATGAGAGAGACACATTGATTTGTTGCTTTCTACACGACCCCAACCGGGGCCAGGGATCCAAACTGCAGCCCAGGTACATGCCCTTCACAGGGAATTAAACCTGAGATACCTCGGTCCGTAGGCTGATGCTCCAAACACGGAGCTAAACCAGCCAGGGCTACAGTGTATTATTTCTATTTACTAAAAAAAAGTTTGCTGTAAAACAGTATGTGGTATTATGCCCGCAAAAGCCTCATACATCTTGTTTATCATATGTCTTGATTGCATCATTTTCTCTTATCCTTGATCTAATCTCACATCGTTTCATACAATAACATGCTATACAGGTTTGTAGCCTTGGAGCAATAGCCTGTACCATTTGGCTTAAGAGAAGGCTACACCATCTAGGTTTGTTTAAGTACACTCTGTCATGTTCGCACAACAACAAAATGCCTAACGATGAATTTATCAGAACATATCCCTCTAGCTAAGCAGCGCATAACTGTATTTGTCATCTTCCACTCTGATATATTCTAGTTTAGAATGAAGTTCCTTGCGTCTTATCCGGTGTGAGTGAGATCGGCCCCTCCTGGGTGCCCTTCCCCTTGCCTTTACAAGGCTCTATCCTACCCAGTGGTTCTCTCCATACTCCTAACAGCACTGTGAGGCCGGCAGGGAAGG